GACGCGTAAATGTGTAATACAATTTCCTGAAGGACTTAAGTCATTTCTGAAATTAAAGTACTTTCAGTTGATTGGGTGAAATGTCTGAGTATATGTGCCTATGATAAATTCTTAAATTTTAGACTCGTCAATTAAAATACTTCAAGCGATAAGTATTACTTCTCAGTTGTCATTTTCAAGTTCTATCCAACATTGTTTGTGGCACTTCCACAAAGCTATTGAAATATAGATTTGACTGTAATAACAGTTGTTTGAGATCTCATGTTCCTTTAAAAGAGCTGAAGTTTGGTGAGTATGAATTGTGCTCTCGAATTCTTGATGTTGATCTTCAGAAATGTAATTTTCGTTGTAGCTGTTCGTTGGCTTTGAAAAATGTCTGTCAAGTGGTCGTTGGTTTTAATTCTTGGTTGCAGCTGTCCTTCATTGTTTGACGACTCATTTATGATACCCCTACTGACACATTTGACCACACACTTGGACGCTTAAAACTCAGTTTGTTGAGATAATTAAAAGTCAAATACCCTAATCTTACTTGTGATGTGCAACAATCAGCTGAATTTCTACTCTAGTTTTTGGCACATGAAGTCAGACATGTCATTAACTCTTCAGGATCCGATAGACGATATTCAATGTAGTAACAATCTAAATACGTGAAATTTTATCATTCAACAGTCAATGATACTTCGGTTTAAATACAATGATTGGAAGTTGCGTGTTGGTTTCAAGTTGCTTAAGACTATATCACTGATTGTCCGTATCGGTATTACAATTAAATTAGTTATCAATAAAATGAGTATCCAGTGAGAACAAACGAACACTACCTAGTCAACAGTGAGAAATATCTATACGAATTCAATCACTTAGAGTATATCATGGCGAAGTGTTTGAAATATGATGTAATCTACAGCCGAAAGTGGCTACTTGTAGTATAGGGTAAACTTCAAGTTGAAAGCCATACTTGATTATTCTGGGAGACTTAAATGATAAGTTTAAGGTAAAATAACAAATATTCAGGAATAAGTGATTGTGGCTCATTAAATGTTAATTTACATGAGACTAAATGTATGGAGAACATAATGTCATTCCAGTTTAACATACTGTTTGCATAACGTAAGTATATAATATTTAAAAGAAGGCATTTTTTATATTCATCAGTTGTACGTCAACGATTCCGATCGTACTTCTGATTCCGTGTGTTCTACTTCAAGCTATGAACCCTTAGTTTCTGGGTTCATATATACTGTTTATCACTTCCTTACAATCAGACTTTTGATTCGCTTTTACAATGAACGTCCTCTTACAGGTCATACTCTGTTCGTCATTGCAATGACTGATCTCTTAATTATGGATTCGTTTCTCGACTTAATATATGCAGATCACACATATATGTTGAGTGTGAATGGTGACATAATACAGGGTCTCTTGATCACCTAGAGTTGCAATAAAAGCCTTGTTTAGGCGACTCATTGTGGAATCACTAAGTGAACAATATTGAGTTTATTTAAAAGCCTTTTCAGAAACTCCGTAATTTGGTTTATGAGACTGGATCCTCACAAATAAAGTGTTCCGGACTGGTATCACACTAGTCAAACCACCGTCAAGTTAGATGCATGATACTGACCGATGTAGAAGTAGTCTGTAAGGAAACTGATAACGATTAAGATCGTCTGGACTATGGTCGTCAACTATGGAGATGTTGAATGACATGGTTTAGGATCGATCACAATTGAAAGATACTTTCACATTTTATCGTTCTCTAGATCCTGTGTTCACAGAGACTTGTTAAAACACCTAAGGATTCTATATTTCTTATCGTCATTTCAAATTATCATGCTAATATGGTTTGGCAGCTTGGTATGAAACAGCTTCGTCCACGTCTATTTAGTCAGTCAGCAACAACGCAGAACTTCGTACGTACGCACATCAGTTCGAGTTGTCATACCATATTAGCACATAGTTACAATTGTCGATTCAAATCCCGTAGTGGTAGAGGTCGAAGAGTTCAGGCAGTAATCGGAAAGATTAGGGTTTGAAAATGTTATTCAAAAAGTGTTGTCCAGTGAAATAAATTCAGAAAGAGAAAAAAAGGATACGAAGAATTCAGAAGATTAGAACTTGTGAGAACACAAAGAGTGGATGCACCTGCGCCATTGCAAACGATTTTGAGTCATATCATTCAAGGTCTCTAACCATCGGTTGATTTCGTCTTACGGATCCCAACAAGGTAGTCTTCACTTACTAACATGGCACATTTCACTTGTCAATGACTTCATGGATTTGTGCCATGTTTTGACCTGGCTACCCCTGGCTTTCTTCTAACCTACTCCTACACCGTAAAACATCGCACGTCGGGTCAGTCGGTGGTTGGGCATACGTAACACATGTCACAGCCATCTCAACTGGTGAAGTTTCACTACTTCATCAACTGATTTGCTAACCTTACCTAGTACCTGTTTCCTAACATCTGCATTACTTACTTGGTGATCCCAAGATATACGAGCAATCCTTTGAGGACACCTATGATGACTGTTTGCAAAATACTTTTAACAGAATAAAACAAGATTTATCAGACTAATCTACTTTTTTTCTTTAAATTTAAACTTTATTCATAAAGTAACCAAATAAATGTCAATACAATTATGTAATAATCTCAAAAAAAAACATTTCTAAACTAATATGATTATTACAATGTAATGAACACTATCAAACATGATTTTGTTTAAAATCGAAGAAAACCTGAAATTGAAAAGAAAGAAATTTCCAATTATTCTACACATATAATAGATTGATTAATATAACAATATGTTAAGGTAAATATGATATTTCACTGGTTGAAATCATGAGTCAACTGAAGCTAGACCACCATGGAAAACATGGAAGCACTGGACGGCTGTTTCGTTCTAGTATGGGACTCTTCAGCAGTGCCCATCCACGATCCCACCTTCCGCAAGATTCGAACCCAGGGCCTACCGGTCTCGCACCAGGCGCTTAACCAACTAGACCACTGAGCCTGCCGGCCAATGTCTGACTTCAACTAAATATGATATTCTTTTACTTAATATAATAATCATCTAGTGTTTGTTTCTGTTTTTTTCAGTATGATATTCTATTCAGTATAACATACGATATTCTTGTATTTAATGAACATGGACTATGCTCAGTATGATATGTAGCATATGATTTTCTTATAAATCTAATTACTTTACATATATGTGATTTCATCTAGTGTTAAGAAATCTTCATCGTTGGAATTGCAGTAATTCCTCATTTTCGAATATAAGTGATAAGCGATTCCGATATAATAATCAGTAATGATCATATCTAACAAGTAGCGTTCAATCAGAAGACATATCATTGACTTACTTACTTAGGATATGAGTAGTGACAATATTAAGAACAAAATTTTGAATAGCAGGCCATCGTAATTGTGGTTAATTGATGAAGTATCATTTTATTTTTAAGCTTATTGTTTTCATTTAAATATCGAACATGAACAGAAGTTTATGAATTTGTGTGATTTGTACAAAGACTTTGAATTACGTTAACAGGGTTTTGAATTATCAACGTGTTGTCGTTAATTTCTTAGATGTTCTGTTGTCCATGTAATATTGATACGTTTATACAGTAAACTATGTGCAAACTTCGACTTTAGCATTACCTACTTACGCCTGTTACCCCGTCAACCAGCATTCTCCAACCCACTCTGTCCTGGGCATTCCTTTCTCGTTCTATCCAACTTTCGTTCATTTTTCTCATGTCTGTCTCCATTTCCCAGCGTAATGTGTTCTTTGTTCTTCCTCTTCTCCTTTGGCCTTGAGATTCCTGTGAGGGCTTGCTTTGACGCAGTTGTGATCTCATGGTCCTCTTCGGTTCTCCCATCCCAAATTTTGCGTAGACAACTGTTAATAAACACTTGTATCTTTTGAATGCTGGCTTTCGTAGTTCTCCGAGCTTCTGCCCCATACAGAAGAACCGTTTTGACACTTGTATTGAAAATTGTGACTTTGGTGTTGGTTGTCAGTTGTTTAGAGTTCCAGATGTTCTTCAATTCTACATATGCTTCTCTTGCTTTGCCGATCCGCGCCTTCACTTCTGCATCAGATATACCGTGTTCATCAACGATGCTGCCCAGATATATAAAGGTTTTAACATCTTCCAAATCTTCTCCGTGAAGTGTGATTCGATTGGTGCATGTTGTGTTGTATCGGAGAATCTTGTTTTTCCCTTTGTTAATATTGAGACCTACTGCTGCTGAGGCTGCTGCTACACTGGTCTTCTTCTGAATTTGTTGTTGCGTGTGCGATAGAAGAGCCAGATCATCTAAGACTTTAGCACGATGGAGAATAATTTAAACCCAATTATAAACATTCAAAACACATTTGCAAAATTTACGTCAACCGAGAAGAATATCGTGAATTCTTGGCGTGTCTAGACTTCCATAAGCTGATGAAGTTCAGTTCAATATTGTTTCAAACTTTGCATAAAGTAACATTACAGATGTCACTTTAGGCCAATTGCAATGGAAGACATTTCTTGAAATAGTATGAATTCAGTTCATTCTGCAAATCATGTTCTGTTTGATTTGTTAAAATTGATCAAACGATCAAAAAGCATTAAACTTTGGAAAATATGATGTTTTCATCTGAGTAATTCAATGAGCTTATCAGTGTTACCCTTTTGTTGCAAGAATCATTCAAAGAATTTATTAATAAACGAAGGTAGTAGACAGATAATCATTTCATTAAAATCGCGAACCAATCAAATTTAGGCAACTATTGATAAACTGAAAGCATTAGATGTGCTTGATTCTCATTTACGATGTCATACATGAGCATTATTGTGAAGTCCCATACTATGACTTAACATCTGTCAAGTACTTGCCGGTTTTCGATAGTTATCAAACTTAGAACAGTTTTTTTTATTCCAATGAAATTCAACCATCTGCACAACCTCATACTTTTCATACTGATATATAATAAAGATCATTTATTTCTGTTTACCTTCTTCAGGGAATGTTTTAAATTGATTGCACTTTTCTTCATTGTTATCAGACTTCAAATCTGTAAATAACATTGTTTTTTTACAAAAAAATTACTTCACTTGACAACGCTTTTAAAATTGATCAACTATGCGACCAGTGAACATCAATATTTAAAGCGGATAAAAACTGTGAAAATTCGTCTTGGTTACCAAATGTCTGACTAGATATACATCCCTGATGTCATAAATGATCAAAAATATTATTTTGCTTGTAAAACATTACAATATTGATTGAACTAGAAACGTTATCAGGTGCCCTGGTACGGCCGAAAGTGGGAAGAGTCCGCTCTCCCTCTCGAAATGCTCTCACATGGCCACGTGTATATAGCCTCTGCCAGGGAAGTCCCACTCACTGCCTTATCGTGGTGGGGGTGTTGTTTACGAAAATGAGAGGACGAAAAGCGAATGTCCAGCGCCTTAACCGGATTCCAAACCAATGGTGCACATGGGCTCCAGTATCCTGCGAGAACAAATGGCGTATGAACCAATTGTTGGTCACCGGCTTCCATGGGACTGCATCTCCTTACTATGCTCCACTGCCTTGTGGATCAGACCTTCAGGTCGAAGGCTCGGGGAGTGGCCCCCTAAGAAAACCACCTGCTTCGGTTTGGGCACCCGGGCAGTGTCACAGCCCTCACACATATCGAATGAGATTTGTGTGGCGCATATGTATTTGGTGCTTCCTTGTACCAATATCTATGTGTTAAATAAATAAATAAAATAAGTTGAATCTTTCAGTAGTCTCAGCCAACAACTAAGTGTAAACAGAAGACTGTGTAAATAGGAATGGTTCATTTTCTTAAATTTATTGTAACAATTAAGTGTTTTCTATATTATTGGTTTTGTAGTGAAGAAGAACATAAGTGGGGACAATCGAACGTATTTGAGCACAAGATTACAGAACATCTCACTAAAATCTGACAACCAAATAGTAAATACTTCATTTGCAAAATATCAATCAATTGTCTTAAACTTGATTGTTTCTTTTGCAAATATCAGTCCATCGTTTCAGATTTCATTGTTCATACATTTTCATACTAATTGCTCTTCTTCTCGACCTTACACTGAAATACATTCTTTATCTGACCATCGTTATATACTACTTATGTAGATATAAGTAACTCACACCACAGTTCCAAGTCGATAATTTCACTTTGTAATGTTGATTTAAATAAAACGTTGAATTCGTTATGCTATTTTGATTCATAGAAGCATTGTTCAATGATCTGATTCGTTCTATCCTGTTTAAAGCTATCTATCTATCCGACAAAATTTATCTGTCCATCAATGTCTATCAAATGTGACTAAGTATTATACATCAGTATAAGTGCTGTGTTTTATGAATTGAACTCAAACGTTCTTAGCCAGTATCATAGTGGTGATCATTTCGCTATATCAATGGAGCTCCCGTATAAACGATGATTCCATTTAATGCTATCTCAAACCTTGATCTGAATGATTAGTTAACCATACTTCCTAATATCATATGTAATCAATCGACTATACATCGGTTGTTTTATTGTGTTTGTATTTATCCAGACACTTTCATGATAAAATATTCATATAAGTGATCGCCGTAATTATCTGTGAGATTTTTCATTACTGTTCACTATGAATTTGAACTGAAGGGAATGATTACAAGAGAGCAAGGAAACAATAAATACTATTTGTCTTTGAGTTATGGACACTGGAGTGTTTATCTATAATTTATTCATTACCAATTTGTCTATGGTGAGATGTTATTTATATTTCTTTAATTTACAGATGAGTTATCGACAAAAAATGTATATTTTATTATGATGGAGTTTAGTTCTCGGATCTGGATTGTTTATTCATTCAGAAGAACGATGAAAGCTCCACGACTAAACCATCCAGCTCAGAGAACAAAACTCCATCACAAACATCATCCACCTGAGCTACAAATCTTCTCCATCATTTCAAAATCATATGAGTGAAGCGCATTTCTCGTTGTTTGAAAATGGGAGGATTTCGTCAAAATGCAGGCTTCTACTCGAGAACAACTGTATTTTTTCCACGAATGTGTTTGTCAGCATTTTCTACCAACAAGTGTAAGATACAGTGCACTAATCAATTGTTCATTTGGATGGAGAATAGTTGAGTAAAGTGAAAGAAAAATGGCACACCTAATGATAACGGATATTTTATTAAGATAGCTAAATATTCAAGAATATTTTCACTGACTTTCTGATATCTTTAATTGTTCTTTGAGGTGATTCTCCAGATTTGGAAAATTACCATCTATTGTTTTGATGAAATACAAAGAAAGTAGACAAAATTAATTTCATAACACAATACGAAACATATATTATCATGACAATCAACTGTAAAGTTGACTTCAATTCAAATAGAGCATTGTCATAAAAGCAAGTTCATTATCCTCTTTAAAGTTTTGCACAACCTTTATGAATAGGATAATTGTACAAGAATAAATGTCGTAAATAGAATGTTTCCGATAGTGAGATTGTATATAATATCATATGGATAATCATGTAAAATAAGAAATCATACATGTTGTAAGTATCGTGAATGCCCATGATTCTTCTATTTCTAAAAGATTTAAATGAAAAGAAATAGTTATTCATTTCATTGGCATGTTAATTAAATAAGATGACATCTAGCAAAAACAATATCGAACTTTAGTCTAAATTAATGGTAAAAGAATATAAACGGAAAAAAACTCCAAGGACCCTTCGACAGTAAAGGAACTTGATGAGTTTCTGCGTATTCTGTCAAACTTGCGGAAGTGAATGCGAAGATATAAGAAGATACAATAACGATGATATAGTGTGCAACAATGATGGAGTTCTTGTATGAGCAGTTAAACTTCACTGTCGTTTTATGTTAGCAAGATACTTGTCAATAACATGCGTAAACATTCTAATAAGTAGACAATTGAATATCTGACCAATTACAAATGAGTAGGAATCAACTCTACAACAAGTAAGTGACTCTCTCTTCAGTTAAAATAATCCTGAATAGTAAGATGAATATATGCAAACAAATAACCGCCAACATGAAACTGTCATGTTATTTAAGCCTACTATTTCATTCATTTCAAATGATGTGGTTACATCTCGGTAGTGATAATATACAAGAGATTAATTGTTGAATCTGGATGATATTGTGGTGTGTGCTACTTATATTAATATAAGTAGTATATGATGTTAGTTGTGAACAGAAGTCTGGCAGCAAAGAGACAAGACGATCGAACAGTAAAAAATGGAAACAAGATGCAATTTGTATGAAAATGCAAGAACGATGAAGTCTGAGTCACTATGAGACAACTGGTGGACATTTTGTAAATTAAGCATTTACATTATGATTGTTAGATTTTATTAACAAGTCCTGTAAGTTTGTGTTAAATGCATTCGATTGTCTCCACCCGTGTTCTGTTCACTACAATATGAAACATGGTGTATACATCTTTTCAATTGAATACTGTTCGCCGAAATAATCTGAAATATTCAGGAATGTTATGAGGGCAACTATAATTTTACAATTTTATGCAACTTTCAGAAGTTACTGTAATGAACATGCGGAATAACTTATAATCTAATTCAATTGGATTAAAATAGAAAATGACTGAAATCAATCAATGTAATGATCTGTGTATGTAATGAGATTTGCATAGAAACAAAGTTTATTTTATAATATCTGTAAAAACCTTTAAGAAATCCATGAAAAGTTTCTACTTCTTGATGTTTACTTTTACAGCTCACATCTAAAATCAATCATGTGATATGTGTGTGGACAATTATCTTTTATTATACACGTACATTGTTCAATTGTTTCGCGTTTTCCACTGATTCTGCCTAAGGTTCTCTGAAACAAACAGATATACATTAATACGAAAAAAATGTATTCAGTTTTATTCTTAAAAAATGTTTTAGCCAAATAATTATTAGAGTAGGTTTGTAAGTTTGTACAGTTTATTGTTTACATCATGAACTGATCTCATTCAGATAATCATTCTATACTAGAAAGTAATCAGTATGAGACTCTTGAGCAAAGTGGATACACTCCTTGTCTTGATATTGAAATGGGTGATGTTTGTAGACTACTGAGAGTTTTATACAAGAACGAAATAGCTGTTCTGTGGATTTTTATCTCTGGTAGTTGTTTAATTAGAATTATTCAGTGATGTATGATTGATATTCATCAGTTTATTATTCGTCAATTTAAGAAGGCATCCGTAGACATCTTCGTTAAATTTATGTGATATATATCACTTAATACAGAAACAAACAGTAGAGCAGATCCAAGAATCTTGTGTATACAATTGATATCATCGCTCAATCGTACTGGACCAATTACATTCATGTAATCTCCTGATTTGAATCTTGATGGGAAGATTTATATAATTCAGAACATTCAACTACTCAATTTTATGTTAGAAATACTAATAGTGAACTCTAATCGAAATTCTTTGGACTGATTATTAGAAAAAGGGAATTTCAATAGAACATCATTCAAAATGACAAGGCAAATAAAATATACATTCTAATACGTTACTGTACACATCTCATTGTACTATGGAATGAAAGTGTATTTAGGGGGGTGGGTGAGCAAAGGTTGATTTATAAACCTATTCGTATACAACATATTTTTTTTCAAAATTACAAGTTACTCCATAATCCACTTACTATTTTGGCTTGTAATGTTCTCTCAGATTCTCGAATATTAGCTGTACTATCTCAATATTTTCTGTAATGTAGATAATTGTAAACATTCAATAAAAATGTTAATTAATAAATCAGATTAAAACTTGATAGTTTCAGTAATCAATATTGATGTCGTCTTCATGAAAACCCTTTTATGATAATACCATGATCGATTGTAGAACACCGTGATACTGTTCAAACTACAGTAAGTGAATTTAAACTTCACTGCATTGCACAAGCAGGTGGCTATCAGGATTCAGTAGCTAAGTGGATAATGCGATGGCGTTTGAAGCGAACGGCCCGGAACGAAGATCAACACTGAGATGCGGGTACATCCAGCCGACGAGTCCCAGATAAGACGAAATGCACGTCCTGGATTCCTCTGCTATCCACTATCCATCTTTGCATATAATGCTTGTGAATTAAAGTCATTTCGAGGCAATCCGCACAAGATGCATATATGGCAACATGAGACTAATCAATTGCAGTCCTAAGTAACAAGTGAATTTACCAATCATTATTGATATATTAAGTAAGCATGATCACAGATTTATATTATTAATTATAGAAAACTAGCAGGATAATCGTAATTTGTACAACCAGTTGACAGTCCTTATAGTAAACTACTGTAACAACACTAGTCTATTTTCCTCTTACATTCAATGATAACTAAACTAGAGTGATTTTGAAGTAAACATTAATGAAATCATTTCAAATGATATGAGCAGAGATACAATTGGATTTTAGTCAGATTATTCAAAACAGATTTCAAAGGTGTAAAGTCTTCCTTTACAGATTATACAAATTATAACATACTTATCACTTCTTCCATTTCTGTCAGAATACCTAAAGAGGAGGACAAAAATCGTCTATACTATTACTAAAGTATAATACAATTGAATTAGAATAATAAGGTTATCATCATTGCTTACTCTTAAAAATACTCACCAAAAAATGTATAACAAATTGTATTTGGAAGTGTTTTATTCAAGTTGATGTGTGGGAGAGAATGATAATGATTAATAGTTTGCTTAGTCAGACTTGTATATAGTATAACAGGCGTTAGATGAGTTATATATCCTCCTATCTATTATTATTATTATTATTATGGACTGATTATTGGTTGCTGTTAGATTGTATCCGCTTGTTATTGTTGGTTTTTGGTGTGGAAATATATTTCGTTCTAGCAAGGCCAATCATGTGTTCTTGATCTGAGTTGTGTTGAAGTCTTATAGAATAGACAGTGGGAAGGAATCTAGTGTAGATATTCGTCTAGGGTAAATTAACTTCTCATTCGTGTAAACGTAGAAAACTGAGCATTATAACATAAGTGAATAAATCACTGTTACAGTTAATCACTTAAACATGATTGGATATTCTACTTGAAAACAGAAATCGGTTGATAGTTTCAACGTAGTAAATTGTTGACATATAGATGAGAAGTAATTACTAGCTAATTAGGAATCGACAGTGAACTGACTAAATCCTAATTGCATATTAAAAACACTGATTTATTTAGATTGTTGTCAACATTGTTAGACATTTCTATATGTCATGTTCATAAGTACCGTACGATTTCTATGAATATATCATAGCATGACATTAAAGAAGAAGAATGTATTTGTAAAATCTCAGCGAAAGAATTTGAAGTAAATCCAACGTTTCCGCCTAGTAATCTAGTTCAAAATTATCGAATATAAATAGATACATGATTCTTCGGTTCACTGTATACTGAATAAGTCATACAATCAATGTTAACAATGTTTAAAGTAGATATTTACATTAGTGTGTAAGAGACATATGGTGTGAAACGAAAAAGTGTTAAGATAACAGATTGTGTGTATACGTCAGTGAGGAGAACTGTAAACATCGTTATCGTTGATTGTATAACCTATTCAGTATACAGTGAACCGAATAACAATGTACCTACTTGTATTCGATAATTTTGAACTAGATTACTAGTCGGAAACGTTGGATTTACTTCAAATTCATTCTCTGAGATTCTACAAATATATTCTTCCTCTTTAATGTCTCACATTAACTCGGTACCCAAATACTGTGAAATTATTCGATCAAATTTGAACAAAAGTTCTTATATATCATAATATGTTTTATAGAAGAATATTGTAACTATGATGATTAAAGCAAAGTTATAAGAAAACATTCAATATCACTGTTCTATATGACAATTTCATATGATATTTAGGTCATAACATAAGTAGTATAGATTATCGAGAGACCCTCATGACTTACGTGATTGAACTTCAGCTTGAAGAAGTATTTCGAAGTATTAGGAAGATTAAACAATTTCAATCAAGTTACAATTCTATACAATCATGTATTTCGAAATTATTTACTAATGATGTATGTTCTTTCTATGATTATGATTCACATTGTGAAAACAAGCTGTTAATGTCAATAATTACTTCATAGTAAAATTATTGACTGAATGATACCGGTTGATTGAAAGTGTAAGCCTATTTTGAAATATTAGATCTATTTCGAAGAGTATTGAGCTCGATGCCATAAATCAGCTTTTGTGTTGAATATCGGTTTACTCGTTCGATTAGGATGTACAATACACCATACACAATATTAGATATCTTCGTGATAAGGTTTATAATGGATTATGTTGATTTATTTGATCACGAATGAATGAGGTCTAATATCTCATTAAGTTATTGTTCCCTTTAGAGCTGTGTATGTTTTACTATTTCTCTGGAATAATTGTAATAACCAGTTTTGTCTTGTGTGTTTCGATTATCATTTGAAAGTGGTATTTAGTTAGTGGTTTGATTCAATAAATTGTTGTCATTGTTCTGAAATGTACCAACTAATCGATTGAGATCTGGGACAATTTACTTCTGTGGCATCCATTTGAACTATTCGACACATGGTATTGTTTAAGATATTGATTGTTTCCCTTTTGTCAGTCTAATCTAGAAATTCATACAATTTGCAGAGTAAATTACTCTCATCAATCATTTAAATACTAAAAATATACAACAGTTTTCAACTATTCAATCTATCTCAGTTGTCTCAAATTTGAGAGTTTTACTGTCAGATTTATGGATCACATATTCCTAGGTAGAGTAGGTGTACTTTAAATGTGGCAAGTGAACAGTTTTGCGGCTACTTTCAGATAAATTCTTACAGGACAATGAGAAACATAATGATACATGTACTGTTACAAATATGAAATATGTAGAGAATATAATTTGATGACTTACGATAATCCTAAGTTCTAAAATGATGTATTTAGTGAACCATTATAATAGTTACATGAGTGTTGTTGAATATCTCATAACTGAAAGATAGCAATGGATATATAGCAGTCTTCTAAATTCACTTAGTATTGTCTGCTTGAATCTTCCCATTGATATTTAGGACTGCGATTGATCAGTCTCTCATTGACATATGTGCATACTGTGCGTATTGCTTCGATATTACCTTAAGTCAAAAGCATTATAAGCAAAGATGAATGGTAGCCAACAGTGGAATCCAGGACGCGCGTTTAATCTTACTTAGGACTCGAAGTGAACATCAACTCTGGGATGCAGGTACATCCAGCTGACGAATCCAAAATATGACGAAACACACATCCTGAATTCCATTGCTAGTCACCATCCATCAGTGCTTGCAGTCTCCTGTTTCAAATAGTTAGGTAAATGTGGAAATAAATGCGGTTGAAATTTTCAAGATTATCTCAGATTTACATAATAGGGATATTAGTATCAATGGTAGCAGAATAATGGTTTAGTTACAGTTGGTGTATATACACAAAATAAACACCGATTTAGGCAGTGTGAGTGAAGTTTGATTTAATTTGTACGCTAACTTTGCTATGAAATCTCTGTGACTTAACGTTAATAATGAGACTATCCGTTCTCGATTGACATATGACAAAAGCGACCTGTCACCTTCAGTTCTAAATAGTAAAATGGTACAGCGGAAACACTCATAAACGAATGGACAATATTATAAAGACAAAACTTTCAGAACCCATGGATTTCGTTAATCATTTGTCAACCAGTGAAAGTCTAATGGGGATTCTAATGTAAGATCGGAAACTGAATAGTGATTTTGGTACAATAGATTGCTTTCAACAATGTGAAATGCGCGAACTAATTAGTTGAGAACAGCTGATAACTATCCT